TTCCTCTGTGAGATAGTTCATTATTTAAAGCGTTAAAGCTCATAGATTATAGCTTAAACATCTTAATGAAAATTTTAAAGTTTAATTAATTTAATCCGCGGCTGATTCAACCTAGATCTATAGCTTTTTAATATATCTTGCTCAGCAGGTTGAGGAGAAATTCAACTAAATGGCTATTAATTTTCTTCTATTTCAATAGTTTTTTGATTTAATCAAATAAAAAGGAATGTAGTTTTTTACATTGTTTTTTGTTTTTATCTTCTCATGGTTGTTTATGTTTGAACTCCTCTTGTGCTTTGTTTAGTTTTTAGCTGAAACTTGCTAGTCTGTCATGTTTAGATGTGACTTTTATTTCAGACTTCGTACATAAAATAGTTAATGTTAGAAACCTAATTGCATTACTGACTACCAGGGACTTCTATGCATTGGCTTTCTTAAATGTGCTCGGCAGCAGAAAAAAATTTCGATGAGAGCAAGCAATCAGGGATCTAGAGGTAAGCAATCATGTCTGAGAGCTTAAATGATGTTTTGTCATTTGAAGGGCTTCTCTTTCTTTGCTCTTGTTTTTTTGCCACGGCCTAATCTTCGGTGGTTTTGTTACAATGTTGATTCTATAGAGGTAGAGAATATGATTAGCATTTGACTCTCAAAAGTCCTGTGGTTGAGCATCATGGTTGCAAGAAAAGATTTTGATAATCAGCCAATAAAGATCTAATCTAGATCTCTAGAATCGGACAATTTGGTAGTGAAGGACTGTCAGATTTAACTAGTTTCATGAAAATGTTATAGTGTACCACTAGATTGGCATCGCTTCTGCAACATATTTTAAATTAAGACCATCTGATAAGTTGTTTGGATTCAGTGCATAAGTTCCATAAATCCAGGAAGGAAATATTCCTTTGGTTCGAGCTACTAAATTTCAGGCCTTAATTTGCATTGTCTTCTCGGAACATATATGGAAAGAAATGAAACTTAAGCATGAGCTTTCATTGCTTTCAGACCTCAGGACATAACGAATGCTATTAGATGACCTAATGGTGCCCACTAACTCATCATACCTCATTCCTTTAAATAAAAGTAGAGTGTGAAATGCGAAACTTAACTTTTATTTATATTCTGTTTATGCGTACGGTCATTGTTGCTTAATTACCTTAAGTGGTCACCGACCAGGATTCATGTCCAACAGACTGGTTTTCAGTCTTCTATATTGGGCTATATTCCCTCAAATTTAGTTAGCGAACGAAAATCTTTACACCAGTCTGTATTACATTGTTTTCATGGTTCAGTTTTATCGTATGATTAGCTTCATACTTATGTTAAAATTGTTCATCCATGTAAATATTAGGAGCTACTTGAGTTTTTTAACTATTCAATCTCTTCTCAGTTTCATGCTTCAATCAACTGAGAGTTTATAAATAAATAAATAATTGGATTTTGTAGACAACTACAGGAACTGGAGCGACACAGGGCAGAACTTTACTTCTGATGCCAGAAAGAGCTTGAAATGATCTATCTGATCAGCGGGAAAATCATTCTTTACCATACCACTGGAAATGGCTCATTGTTTAGCTCTCACACTGGTTTTCTTTAAAACATAATACTGGAGGATCATGTCCAGGATTATGAAGATGTATAGTTTCGTGTGAAGACATTTTTGTATATCACGCAATTACTGATTTTTAAGTAAAAGAGGCTTCAGTTTCTCTAGCCCCTAAACATGTTGTCCTTTTTGGGTTTAACTATGATTTTGATACTAATTTGTGTACTTTGCAACGACTTTGCCCATAGTCAGTCCTAAGTGAGGGGAAAAACAACATTTTGGTGAAGGTTAAATCCCCAATAAGCATTCCACCGAAGTAGGTAGGAATTTGGGATTGAACGTGGGTGTGGACAGTTACTTGAGTTAGGCTGGCCAGGTTGAGGTTGCACTTGGGTCAACTTGGGTTTGAACCTTGCCCTGAAATAAGATTATTCTTTTAGTTGGCTCGAACCATGCTCAGATCGAGACTGTACTCTAAGTCGCTCAGGCCAACATCATTCCTCGAGACAACGTGAGGCCAGGGCCTTTGATTGACCCATGCTTTCTTGCAAGATTCTACCTTAGGTCTAGCGGGGCAGGCAACGTTCCCCAGTCTCATACTGATGCCAGATAAGGCTGTTTATTTGGTCGAAAATTTGTTAGAATAAATCGAGCTGTGTTGAACCAAAATACAAAAAATATAAACTTCTTTTGAGTGAGGATTAAACCGAAGTAAGAGACAATCGGACCGTAATAAAATTACGAAATATTTTCGAAGTTCAAATGAGATTATTGTAGACATTTCTTATACCTGAGAAGTCATCAGGATTTTGTATTTTATTAGGATATATGGCTATGCTCTGGGGGCAAGAAAATAAAATGTGAAGGCATTGTTTATCTAGTGATCCGTAAGAAGACATTGACGCTTTGTTTGTATCAGTTTATACACGTACTTATACATATAAGGATATATAATTCTTTGTGAAAGCTTAAATACATAAGAATCTAGACTTTTTTAAAGAAAAAATGTGTTTTTCAAATAAAATTTGATTATTTAGTTATTTCTGAAAATAAAACCAATACAAGTGTAGAAAAATGAGTTGGAATTGTGAAACCTTAGTGGAATAAAAAAAAAAAAAGAAATAATTTCTTTCTGTTGCAGTAAAAATGTCTAATAAAATCATCAGCTTTTAAAATGACAAATTTACTGTGAAGCTAGAGCCTCAAAAGAAATGGCATGAAGCTACAGTTGAATGCAAACCAGATAACTAACAAGTTGCCAAATAAGTGAGTATAAATTTTAAGATTCCAGCATTTATAAACATCTTCTAACATCAATTAGATATAAAGTTTGTTGTGCAAATCATTAACTTTTCAATGGCTCTAAATAGCATACAAAATATACAAGCAAATGCTCCACAGTTCCCCCATCGCTGGTACAATAGTTCCAATAAAATGATGCAGTTAATAGAATGCAGAGAATCAATAGTGTTCAAAATCAAACGAGATCAGAATAAGGCATTCATTTCTGGTCGTTCTCTCCTGATGAATTGGGATTTTGAGAATATTTTGCCCACCTTTGCTTGTTCTTCTGAGATGTATTCCAATTTTGAGAGAATTCCGTGAGTCCCTGCCTCAATGCACCAAGATTAACTCCTTTGCCTACCAAGATGCTTGTGACCCCCATTTTAGAAACCTGTTCCGCATTACAGTTGCAGTTTAATTGGCTGCATGAGCTATGTTTCATAAAAATTAGGAACACCAACTGTTCTTTTTCATTAAATAGGATCCTCCATCGTTTATCAGATAAATTTGCAAGGTTAACATGTAAACTGCATATTAACAACAGAATTGCAACATTCATATTTACCGCTTGGATATTCCTATCTTCATCATCAAAAAAGAGCATTGAGTTAAAAGGCACCCCTGTTCTTGAACGGATTCTTTGAAAATGCTCAGTTTTGTGCGTCCAACTGGAAAAAATCTCCTGAATAAAATCAAAACAAGAGTCATCTAAATGTTAGTGGCAATTTTTGTCACTCTTTGCTAAAGAAGGAAAAAAAAAAAACATAACCATGAGAAGCTTATAAACTAACATAAGGCCATAGATATGGGATAAGAATCAGCAACAACAAAATTATTTTAAAAAGAAAGAAACAATAAGAACCTAAACATTGAACTTGGACATGTATTCGAGCCAGGTCAACACAGGAATCCAAAGTGTATGAAAGTTGGACAGACCACGATGTCCTCATATCAGATGGCACATAATTCTTCTGGAATAAATCATGCACATATCTTCCAAACAAACAAAAGAAGGAACAGACGAACAATGGTTTCAATATGTACAATCCCATGAACTCATATGGAATAGAATGAACTGAAGTACTTTAGAAAGAGAAGCAGCCAGGGAGTGTAGACTCTTATTAACACACCTGGGTTATAAACATAGACTTGATGTTCAACTTATCAAGAAACGTGTTAGCTATGTCTGGTGTTGGCGATCTTGAAGCAATAGCTAAATCAACCCCCTTGTCTCTGAGTGCACACAATATGCCTTTAGCATCGCGATACAAAGATGGCATTTCACGTTTGGATCGACATTCACTGGAGTCAAAGGAAAAAGTAAAAGAACATGTAAATTGGCACACCATATTCAAATTTATGTAACTGCAGGAAATAATTGCATTACCATTCTCATAAATAAATTACTTACCGCTCTTAAAATATGAAAAATGAAATTATGAGAAAATCATCATTAAACAGCAACTAGAAAAAGCGAAAGCGAGTGATGAGCATTATAGAACAATGACAATGTTTTCTGATAAAACAACCCATAAAACAATTGTATTGTACAAAACAAGCTACATCAAGCTCCATATTATCCTCTGCTCTTAACAATTTGTCACTTGAACGGTTTATAGCAACATCGATTCCTTACCGGCAATGGTGAAAGTACTCAGTAGTCAGCGGTACCTTTAGTGTAAGAAGGTTATGATATTCTACCTACCACTTTGATAAGCGATTTTAGGGCTAGACAGGACATAAATCAGCCTAAAAATTTTAGAATGGTAAAGTTTGATAATTAGGAATAAAATTCAATCGATCAATAAATCGCGATGAATGCACCCAGTTAGATATACATGCATAAGCAAATAAACGTATACATAAGGTAAACAGAAGATTATGGTGTTTCTGTGGATTAAGCGAGAAATATACCAGTAAAAAGGCCAGAGAGTGTAATCGAGATCGAAAACAACCAATTTGGGGAGCACTTGGAACATTCCTATGATCTGCATCGCCTCCTGTTTCGCCTTCTCTTCTGTCATCTTCGCTCCCTTTCTGCGTATTTACCTGTGTGTATATATGTATATATACATGTATACAGTATATATAAAATTCGTAGGTATTATATATATATATATACGTATTTACCTGTGTGTATATATGTATATATATGTATACAGTATATATAAAATTCGTAGGTACTATATATATATATATATATAGAGAGAGAGAGAGAGAGCAAGGGACAGCGTTGCCTTATGTAGACTCGTACTACAAAGTGAAGAATGAAAATGGAACTCCCACCTCCGAGGACTCCTGCTATTATCTATGGAGGAAATGAGGGGTACGAACGAGATGTTTTTGTTTGGCTGCTCCTTTTCCGGTACATATGGATAAGCAACTCCTTGATGCAGGCAACCGGTTAAACGCCGTGGCCTAATTCTCAAAATGAGAGAAAAATCAACGTCAGCGTATTTTTTTTTAATAAATATTTTTAAATTTAATTAATTAATTAGTGCAAAAATGTATAGTTAAATTTACGATTATTATTATTGTATATATCGTCTGCAGAACTATTTAATTATTTTTATATTTTAACCAAATGAATTATTATAATTCATAATTTTTTTAATTTATATAACTTTTGCTTATACAAAAATATGGTATTCAAATTTATATTGAAGTTATTTAATATTTGATTTATTTATATAAAAAAATATGTACTTAAATTTATGATCATCATTAATCAATCTCTATGAATTTGTAGACATCCTCTGCATAGTCAAGTTTAGTAACACAGCATATATATTTAATTTCAATGAGAAGACAAAAGTTCAGAGTAAAATGAACCACAGTGGGTCGCAAGTTCTGCACATGGACCCTCACATTAACGCACATGCAGACGAGGAAACCCCACGGGATAAAAATTCTCCAGAATACATCCACAGAGTGGTAATTACTTTTCCAAACTCAAATTATTCTAATAACTAAAATTATTAATGCATATTTTTTAGAATTAACCCTTATAATTGCCCGGTGAATTTGTTAACCCTGACTCAATTTCATTCCATTCTCACGTTTTCCAGTATACAAGAGTCGAGGCTGTGAATTTACTTACCATTCTATTCCTTTCACTATTTACATCCTTTTATTTTTCTTAACAAGTTTTCACTTGTTAGTTCTATTCCTCTCTAAGTCTAAGGAGGCACAAATCGTGCCCTCTTGGCCCCAGCTTGCTGGCCTTCTGGTTCTGACGCTAAATCTTCATCACTCGAGATACAATAATTGTCATTCTGATTGCTGCCTTGATTGGACATGGTGTTGTTCTTTTGTGAGGATGAAACATCATTGCTCTCATTGCCATCATGCATTATGCTTTGTTCTTCCGAGTCTTCAACCACAAGATCAGCAAATTTGTCATTTGGGGTTGAAGGAAACTCTGGTTTGCATCTGTCATCCA